TTCTGGGGATCCTCATGAAAGCGCAGGTAGCAGCTGAGCACAGTCTCACACGCTGGTACTTCCAGCACTTGAGAGGTTCAGGCAAGACCAGGAGTCTGAAATCAAACCTAGGCTACAAAAGGGACCCAGTTTATGACTCTGACCTAATCACTCAGGGATGCTAATATCACCGGGCTTGGGGCTTTCTTTTAAGTAGCTGAGTTCCAGGATACCTAGGCCACACACATTCACTGCATGAATTTCTTCATCCATAGCCTCTTGGGGCAAGACAGCTCCACACACTGAGGTACCCAGACACACCACCATATCAAAAATCAGAAAAACCAGCCACGGAGCAGGGAGGGAGGTCTGTCCTGTTGATTCTACCGTGACAGAGGAATACCAAGCCATGCAACCCCAGAGAGGCTGGACTGGGCACACAGACCACCCCCCAATGTCTCAGATGAAAAGGACAGGTTTAACTTGGCCATTCATTCCCTTTTCTGATGCACCTGGGTAAGGACCCAGAGAAAATTCAACTAGGACAAAAATACGAAATATCTTAAGGATGAGAGAGTCCACGGTAGCTCATTTAATAGACTGCTTGGCTAGCATGTTGAGAGCCCTAGATTTGAACCCCAGCATTGCATAAAACTGGGCATGGTGACACACTTGTAATTCAATAGGCAGGAGGATCAGACGTTCAAGGGCATCCTTGGCTACACAGCAAGTTCCGTATAGGCTCCAAGAGACGCTGGGGAGAGACTGATTGATTGTCTCTATGGGTTGGTTATTCTCGGAAGTTGTAGAGTTGGGCTGGACAGAAGAAAGATGAGCAGAGGCAAGTCACACTCCAGGAGAGTGAATGAACTGGGGTAAAGGCACACAAGTATGTTTCAGGAGATGGAGCCAGCCGGCCGGCTATAGCAGAGGTTTCCAGCAAGTGAGACAGGCACTGTCCAAGACGACTGGAAAGCTAGAAAGAAAGGCGTATTGGGCAAGGTGTTGGTGGGACACATCTTTAAGCCCAGCACTCAAGAGGCAGAGGCTGGCGGGTCTCCGAATTCAAGGCCAGTCTGATTACAGAGCAAGTTCTAGCACAGCCAGAGCCACACAGAGAAACCCTGTCTCGAAACCAAGAAAGGGAAGAGTGAAAAGAAAAAGAAATTTCCCTAGATCACAGGAGCACAGGCTCATCAGAGTCACTGGTCTTTAAGGTAGCTCCGCAGATAAAGGTACCACCAAGCTGAGTCCCGGGACCCACACCATGAAAGGAGAGGAGAGGCAGACTTCACTCACTTGTCTTCTGAACCCCACAAGTGCACTGTGACATACGTATGCATGAGTGCACACACACAAATAAATGCAATAGAAAATTTAACAACAACACAGGAGAGAATCCCAGGCTTGGCCAGGGGTGGTCCTACTATCCTCTAGTCCCATCACCCAGGAGGCTGAGGCAGGAGCATCATGAGGCTGGGAAGGGCTGCACAATGAGTCTACAGCCAGCCTAAAACTTATACTAAGAGTCTGTCTCAAAAAAAAGAAAAAAAAAGGGGGGTGGAGGGGGTGATGATTCTAGGCTCCAAACCTTAAGCCTTCTCTTCCTCCACCTTATTTATCACACCAGGGATCTCAAGGTTTAGAAAGTAACTCAGACATTTACAGCTTAATTACCTAAACTTCAAAATGGCTTAATCCACAAACCTGACCAGGCTAGGTCCCTAGCCCCAGCCTTATTAGCATCGAGGTCTCCCTTCTGCCTCAGTTAATGGCACAGTTAAACAAGATGGAAAAATGTACTGTGATCTATTAAAAACAACAACAACAACAAAAAAACCCTTGGCCCCTGAAGACATGCATCTGGCATAGGACCCTGATTTCACCAGAGCAGGCGCCTCACTGAAACTGTTTACAGCACAGGGACAGGGTCCGCACCAAGGCACAGAGGGGTAGAACTGATTTAAGATCCTCATTAAAATGTTTCTCTGCAGAGCACAAGATACCCCCAACTCCCTCCCATCCAACTTCCGTCTCACACACACCCTCCCCAGGACACCCAGCACTGAAGGTCACAACATCAGAGTCCTCCCAGAAGAAATTCAGCAATTAGTGCTGCCCGGGGCCCCAGCTGCAACAGAATTTCCCTTTGACTTCAGAAAGAAACCACAGCAGCAAAGACAGACACATCCAGCAATGCCACACACCAAAACCCACCAGGAGGCCTGTGAGCTGGGGCTGCTCGCCCATATGGCTGGGCCCTCATCCTGGCTGTGTTTAAAAAAAAAAAAAAAAAAAAAAAAAAACCTTCCATACTTCCTCTGGGAGCAGATGTGGGACTCTGCCATGAGCAGTAACTACCACGTACATCAGGAACATGGCTAACTCCAGAAACACCCGCTAGGAATTCCCAGGACGGGTTCTTTCTGGACTCTGCTTACCTCTTTTTTTTTTTTTTTTTTTTTTTATAACCGGGAGTGGGAGAGACTTGCATTCCCTGGCCCCTAAACCCTCAACAGCTGGTCAGGAAGATGACAGCAGACAGTCCCCTGCCCTTGCGGCGGGCACCCTTTAAAGGAATGGTTAAGAGATCACCCAAGACAGTAGTCCCCTGTTGCTCAAAGAGGGCTGTTTGCGGACCACCACAGGTGCCTCTGTTGTATCCGAAGGTCCTTGCTGGTTGGGACCGGCAGAATGGGTATTTGAGCAGCTTGGCGATTTCCGGTGAAATCACTTCCAACACCTTTCGTGGTGACTGACTCCCAGGTATGAACAGCCCGGAAATAAAGATCTGCGGGGCGGGGGTGCCCCTTGTTTGCCCTGGAGATGCGGGCCACACCCTCTTCCAAGTACAGAGGCCCTCCACGAAAAGCCAGAGTTGAGCTCCGTTTCTGCCTCTCTGCCCTTAGGAAGACAGATTTCTTTCCTCCCAGGGCACGGACAGGATGGAAATCCAGGAAACGGCAGAGCGCAGCCCGTCCGCACCTTGGCAAGCCGGCCATGCCCGATTTGGGCAGCGGCCTTCACACATTAGTCACCACTACAGCTCGGGACCCTCCGCTCCCGGGACACGACCCTGGCACTTAGAGGGCTCAAGGCTCGGGCCTAGCTAGAGGAGGGCACGAGGCACCCCTCAGTCTAACCTGCCCTCGCCGGCAGGGCCATCTGGGCTCCCAGCTTTGCCCCGGAACTTTGAGAGAGGGAGCCCGGCGCATCGGGCCGGCATAGGCAACAAAGCTAGCTCCGCGCCAGGCGCGCCCTAGGTCACGTCGGTCGGGATCGGGACCCAGGCCGGTCTCCCTCACCTGGGCTCCAAGGCCCGGGACACTCCCAGAGTGTCGGCACCTTCTCACGGGCTGGGAGGGCGCTGTTCCCCAAAAAAGGAGCTGCCAGGCAGGGCTCGCGAGCCGGCGACTCCGGGCAACGCTCGAGCAAACTCTCAGGTCGGGCGGGCGGGCGGGCGGCGGAGAGAACTCGCAGCAAACGCGTCCCCGCGCCCCAGTACAACGCGCGCGCGGGGGCGTCGCCAACCCGGGGCTCCCAGCGAGCCTCTCCACCGCTCCAATCGTCCAGATCACCTCTCCAGGGCCCTTCCAGCCCCCGGGACTACCGCGCTTCTCAAAGCCTAGCTCGGTACCCCTGGTTCTCCCGGGACTCACCGGCCAGCAGCGGCAACAGCAGAGTGCCGAGCAGAGGCAGCGGGCGGCCTCCCATCGCGGCGGGCTGCAGGGGAGCAGCGACGTTCAAGGCGCACGGGCGAGCGGGCGCGCGGACCGGAGAGCTGGGGCCGCTGCAGCAGCCGCAGCCCGAGCCCGAGGCGTCCGGAGCTGGAGCCGCGCGCGCGCCCCGTACCTCCGAGCCCTCGCGCGCCCCCGCGGCCGCCAAACCACGCCCCCGACGCCCCCTCCTCTCCGCCCGCACGGCGCCCCGCCCCCGGGTGCCCCCCTCCTCGCCGTCGAGGGGAGGAGCTGGCAGTTGAAGGGAGGATCTGAAGAGGGATGAGGGGGACAGTGGCGGTCCCAGGGGAGTGCCCGAGACCTGAGTGTTGAGCCCAGCGCCTAGTTTGTCCACTGGGACGCAGGAGAACCAAAGTGAACGTCAGGCTTCTGTGGCCCCTAAGGAAGAATGGTCACTCTGGACCTACCTGGAGGTCTGGACCAAGTAGTTTGCCCAGTTTGCTCCAAGTTGGTGGAGATCAGCCACCCAAAGTGCTGGGAGAAGGGCCAGTAGGGTGTCGCGGGCGGCCACAAAGAAGACAGGGACGTAACTGCGGGGCAGATGTAGCTAGAGAGGGGGCAGGGCCGGGCGGGACTGGAGTCAGGTCACTGGACAAATCTGGACCCAAGGTAGAAACCCTGGGCTCTGAGAGCCAGCGAAAGCTATTAAACAGACATTCATCCCAAGTCCATCTCCAGGCAGTGTGGGCTGTGTCAGGGCATGGCCAAATCTCCAGCTGTGGGGAGGCCCAGCACAGCCCTGGTTCCAGGCACCCTCCACCCCCAGCGCCACCACCCCCACATTCTTTCTTTGTTGTGAAAGCAGCAAGGGGTGTGGGAGGCGGGTCAGGAGAAGTCAAGCTTTAGAAGATGGGCCCCAGCTGCTGACAGGCCTCCAGGATATGCAAGAGGGGATGGGTAGCGCCTTGTCCCCTCCTGGCTCTGGAGGGCCCCCCAGGCCTGCTTAGACCTCCCTTCCCCCAAGCAGCTGGGAGGAGGGAAGGAAGCCACAGAGGGCCTCACAGGCAGAAGAAGTGGCGCCAGGACTCCAGGGTCCTGCCACATGGCCACCACATGTCCCTGACAGCCCAGTCCACGGCACCTTCTCCTTGGAGGCCTCCTTCCCATCCCCCAACCAAGATGCCTTCCTTCCACCAGGCCCTGCTAAAGAGGGTACAGACAGACGCAGGGAGGCAAGCTGGAGAAAGGCAAGGACTCGAGGGTCCCGCGGCCCTGTCTACCACCGCCCTCACCCTCTGTCAAGGCCCTAACACCCCACATGCTTCAGTCAAGACGCAAGTAGCGAAAGGTTACCTGATTCTTTTATTAAAGAAACGCCGTGAAATACATGGACCTGAAGTGGGACAGCAGAGGACAGGGGCCCAAAGAGGCCAGCCCCAAACCCTCTGACAGAAAAACCAGCAGCAGCTCACCCTGGAGGTGCACACCTGCCTTTGCACCTTGGGGGCCTCAGTAAGCTACTCTAGAGGACTCCAAAGTAGAGACACATCCTGAGGGCCCTTCCTGAGGAAGGAGCCTAGACCCTACAGGCAGCATCTTCCGTTTAAATTGCTCCTTCTTCACCTTCCCTTTGGCTTGGGGAATGCTGCGGGGGGGGGGGGCCCAGCAGACGGGGTGGGGGGTGGGGGGGTGTTTGAACGTCAGCTGCTTGAAGAGAGGTCCATCGTGCTGGCACTGAGGCCCCAGGAGGCCTGAAACAGATACCACCAGTCACCCCATAAGCACTGGAAGCTCCTGGAGCCTGCCTGACCCACAGCCGCAGTCTCCTTCACGACCTAGGATGGAACCTCTAACCTCCATCCAAACTCCCGGACTTTGCTTAGCCACAGTCTGCTTGCTGGAGGAAGCAACCAGGAAGAAAGCCAAGAATCCTGGCTTGTACTGTGAATGAGCTGATACGGGAGGCCAATGCGATGAATGGCATTGCCGTCTTCTCAAAGCCAGATTTAATACTTTTTTGTTGTTCCTTTTTTATTCCTTATTAAGACCCCAAGGTAAGGAATGTGCCAACTATACAAGACAGAACCACCTGCAACTCTAAATCATTCCTAATTCCCAAGTCCCAGCTTGGAGGGCATCAGTGGCTGGCACTCTCCTGATTAACTTGCTACTACCTGAGCTGATACTCACTCACCTCTCTCTCTCTCTCTCTCTCTCTCTCTCTCTCTCTCTCTCTTTCTCTCTCTCCTTCTCTCTCTCCTTCTGGTTTTTCAAGACAAGGTTTCTCTGTGTAGCCCTGGCCAACCTGGAACTCGCTCTGTAGACCAGGCTGACTCACAGAGATCTGCCTGCCTCTGCCTCTGCCTCCCTGAGTGGAGTGCTGGGATTAAAGGCCTGTGCCACTAGTGTCCGGTATCTGAAACTGTCCCTTGATGCCCAGGGCCTCCGTCTGCCAGGGTGGCCCTTCCCCCTTCCCCGCCGCCCCTGGGAGCCCTCCCTCTCTCACCTGGAGGGGGGCGGCACTGCGCTGATTCAGGTAGTTGAGCGAGGCGGCCCGCTTCATGTTGCTGCTACAAGGGAGAACGAGAGAACTGAGCCCATTGCCCTCCGTGGAGGATGCATCTAGGCTATCTCTCCTGCACCAAGAGGGGCTGCGGGCCAGGGCTCGCTGGCCTGCTTTGTCCAATCTCAACCCTGTCATGTACCTGGAAGGCCGAGGCTCAGTCCCTTGGAGCTTCCTTACCAGGAGCTCACTGCTTCTGCGAAGCACATCCCGGATCTTGCCCAGAGAGCCACTTCTCTGCAGAGTACCACTACCATCCTGTCCGAAAGAGATGTAGCCTGGCTTCCAAGTCTATCCCTGCCCTGCCATTCATTCTGCACATGCCCCCCCACCCAAAGCCCCCTCAAAAGCAGATTCCCAGGGATCGACAGGCTAACTAGTGGGGACGTGACTAACCCCTGCACAAACTTGGAGAAAGGCAGTCTCCGAGCTTCTCAGTGACAGGGCAGGGCACAGCAATGAGCACACTTACCCCTGACCACTCCACAGCCACTGATGCATCTTCACCTCCCTCGAATTTCACACTGTCCCCAGGGCCCTCCTGGGAGGTCCTTCTGCCATCACCTTCCCCAAGCAGCTCTGCCACCTTGGTCTGACTGATGGGGTCAGTCCCCTGGAGAGAAGAGGAAGAGATGCTGGGAAGATGGCTCATCCATAAAAGCACCGGGCACTAGCAGAGGACGGATTCAGTTCCCAGCATCCATATGGCAGATCAGGAGAGCAGCCACCCCAGAGCCAGGGATGCAGTGCCCTCTTCTGGCCTCTGTGAGCACTGCATGCGTGTGGAGCACAGATGGCACATGCAGGCCAAATGAAGGAGCTAGGACTTCATATTCCTTAAATCTCAGGATGGGGCTTTGGGTCTTTTTTCTTTTTATCTATTTATTTTTCTGGTGAAAAAGCAAAGAGTCTTTAATTTTACTAGTTAACTGGTTTCCCATGTCCACCTGGCACAGTGGGTGAAGCAGGCGGGGACCAGGCATGGGGAGGGGGTGGCTGGGTCTTTTTCCTATCAGCTATTTCAAGGACAGAATTTCCCATCTTTATGATGCCCCTTACACAAACACTGGGCAGTATTTGCCTTGTGTGGCTGTAGTGTCTCCTTACATAGACGTGTGTAGCTATGTCCCAGAGGGAATGGGCTGAGATGTGTAACTGGAGAAATTCTGACTCGGGCTTCTCCTGAACCTCACCTGCTCCATCCACCTCCCCCATGAAAGGGAAAAGCTGCCTTCTACAGCGCCATCTAATGCAACGAATCCATTCTGTGTTGTTTTGGTTTCTATGTTTGTGTGTATTGAGTACACTGTTGCAGGGGGCAGGGACTGTCCTCCCTCATTTCGTTTGAGACAGTCAGAGCTCACCAATTTGGCTAGACTGGCTGGCCAGCGAACCCCAAGGATCCTCTCATCTCTGCCGCCCCAAATTAGGTCCTCCCAATCGTCTCTCCCCACTTACCCACCCCACTGTGCTCACTACTGTTGTGTGTGATGGAAAAGAGACACACACATTGCTACAGCGTGAGTGTGGAGGGCAGAGGGCAACTGTGTGGGGTCACTCTCTCCTTCCACTTTTACCTGGCTCCCGGGGATTGAACTCAGCTCGCTGGGATTGTGCAGCAAGCTCCTTTACCCACCGAGCCAACTTACCAGCCCTGTTTTGTTTTTTGAAAGGAGGCCTTACACTGTAGCTAAAGCTAGCCTAGAACTCATCATGCAGCTCAGGCTAGACTCAAACTGACAGCCTCCTGTTAGAGGCACGAGCCACCACACCAGCTGGGAAAGGAATCTTGAATCTGTCCCATGACACAAATGGCAAGCTTGGAGTGAGAACATTCTTAAACATAGTCATAAGACTGCCTCCCCTCTCAGCACATGCGGTCCTTGTCCCTTTCCTTCTTGGCCCTCCCACTGCGGACTTCTCTCTCTCCCTCCCTCTCTCTCTCTCTCTCTCTCTCTCTCTCTCTCTCTCTCTCTCTCACACACACACACACACATACACACATTCATTTATTAGCTTGGTGTGGTAGTGCATGCCCTTAATCCCACACTTGAAAAAACAGAGGCAAGCAAGTAGATCTCTGAGTTCAAGGCCAGCCTGGTCTAGAGTGAGTTCCAGGATAAAAAGGCTACACAGAGAAATCCTGTTGGGGGGGGGATTTATTAATCTTATTGTATGTGTATGTGTGTCTGCCTCAGTGATGAATGTGGGTTGCATGCATGCTGGTACCCACAGAGACCAGAAGAGGGCATTGGATCCCCTGGAACTTGGGTTCCAGGCAGCTGTGAGCTGCTTGATGTGGGTGCTGGGAACCGAACCTGGGTCCTGTGCAAAAGCAGCAGGTGCTGAGCTGTCATCCCTGGTCCAGGATCTTACTAAGTAACCATGGCTAGCCTGGAGCTCCCAAGTGCCAAGATTACAAAGAGGCATCATTGCCCTGTGCGTGGGCTTCTGACCTGCTTCCGGGAACGCAGGGCACATTCCTCCAAGGTCTCGGCTGCTTCCCGCTTCCCCTGACGCCGGTACAGGGCCCCTAGGTTTCTCAGAGTAGTGTTCACTGTGGGGCTGCAGGGAGATGAGAGAAGGCAGGGGGAATGGCTCAGAAATGGGGTGAGAACACAGCCCGACGCTACAACACTTGCGGAGCATACACAGGCCCTGCATGACCCTAAGCACAAAAACGGGGGACAGAAGGAGACGACGGGAGGGAAGAGAGAAGGCTAGGAACGCCCGGGGGAACAGGCGTCAGGAGCCTGGACACTGGAGCAGCCCAGACTGAACGACCCCTGGCAGCTCACCTGCTCACTTTGCAGGCCTTATACCACCCTCCGTAGTCTGCGTAGGGTGTGCCGCTCTCACGGTGATGGCTCTGGGGAGGGAAGTACAAAGGAGCTGGGAAGCAGGTAGGCGCTGCGCTGATGTGCAGACTAGGTCGGGAAAGCTACTGTACACTGAGGGCTGGGGTAAGAAGTGAGTAGTTAAACTAACACAAGGGTCAAGCCAGAGGTGCTGGCAGCCTCTGTCCCCAGGCTGCGTCCCTTACTCACTCTGCTCATTCTCTCCCGCTCCTCGGCATGCATCCAGATAGGCTTGTGCTCATCTGAGGATGACATATTGAGTGAGGAGGTTAGGGAACAGATCTGGACACTGTGTGGGGAGCCAGAACCACGGGCCAATGGGCTAGACTGACAGGGTCTGGCTGTCCCTACTAACCCATGTATGGTCCCCAATCTAGCCCACTTCCCAGACCTTACCACTCACCATCCACAGATCCAAACTCCTGCACATGGGCACGGGTCAGGATGTCTTTGTATAGAGTCTCGGCCTCCGAGTATTTGCCCTGCTTTAGGTAACAGGAAGCCTGGAGACAGAACAGAAACACAAGAGCATGAGGTGGAAGCAGGCAGGCAGGACTCAGCCAGACTCAGGGACTCTATTCCTTAGTGCCTGTCCCTGAGGCCCTCCTCATTCAACCTGTTATGGCTGAGGGTTCCAGTTATTCCCACCCAACTCCCAGTAGGATCAAGAGGCAGACTGAGGCAGAGCCTTCATCCGCAAAGGCAGCCCTAGAGACAGGCACAGACTTGGCAAAGGAATGTGTCCCATTCTGATGCTCTCCGAGTCCAGGACCCACTGGGAGGCCTCCCCTCCCTCCTCCCACCACCTGTCAATTCCTTCCTTACCAGGTTGTTCTTGGTCCGAGCTACATTAGGGTTGTCTGGCCCTAGCTGGCTCTCATAGATGGCTAGCGCCCGCTGGTAATAACGCTCCACGGCCTCATACTTGCCCTGGTTTTGACACAGGAGGGCCAAGTTGTTTAGCTGCTTCGCCACATCCGGGTGACTGGTGCCCAAGACCTGAGAGAGCGCAAAGGAGCCGACAAATGACTATGATGACGTACGTGTGTGCGAGCACGTGAGGAACAGAAGAAGCTCAGTCGGCAGCGCGCAGAGTAAAGGACTGGGGAGGGCACGGAAGCGTGTGGGCACCTTTTCCCGGATCTCCAGTGCCCGCTGGCACAACGGCTCTGCCTCCTTGTATTTACCCCTTTTGCCATACAGCACAGCCAGATTGTTGAGTGTGGCAGCCACCTGCAAAGGAAGGCAATCCCCGTCACGTCACACACCGGCGCTGCAAAGGAATCTCCAGTTCTCTCCATGCACAGCAGAGCCCAAGCCAACATCGAGAGACAGACTCCATGTTGTGAGATGGCTCAGCAAGAAAGACCCAGCTGCCAGGCCCGCAGACCCAAATTCACAGGGGAGGGAAGGAACCAACTCCAGGAAGTTGGCTGTCCTCTAACCTCTGGATCTCTCTCTTTCTCTCTCTCTCTCTCTCTCTCTCTCTCTCTCTCTCTCTCTCTCTCTCTCTCTCTCTCTGTCTCTCTCTCCCTCCCTCTCTCTTTCTTTAAAAAAGGACATAGTCTACCACTAGAGCCAGAGGCTGGAAAGGGGGAAACTACAAACAGAATGGCTGAAGCTCCATGAGGGTGAGGATATCGCCCTCTAGAGGGATTTCTAAAAATTTCAGAAGGTGGTTTCTGGCTGTAGTACAGTACTTTTCCCAAAGGGAGGCAGGGAAGCTGTGGATACAGTGTGTGTCATAGTTCTGGGGGCTTAGGGATGCCCTGCTGGACCTGTGAGCACAGGGAGGCAGCAGCGGTGTCACTGGGGAGGAGGCCAATACCCCAGGGTTGCTGAGATGCGGCATCCCTGCCTAGCTAATGTGACATTACAGGGAACTGCTCCCACAAGGTCATCTCTTTTCCAAAGATGTTATTGCTCATTTCCTCAACTTTGACAACCTATCAAATGCTTGCCACTCTGTCCCTACTCAAGGCTATATCTAGAACTTCCTCATTTTAGAAAGCTCTTAATGAAGCGTGTGTGTGTGTGTGTGTGTGTGTGTGTGTGTGTGTCTATATGTGGGAATGTACACGTGAACCCAGGTACACGTGGAGACCAGAGGTGCCAACTGCCAACTGCTATGAGTCATTGGAGTTACTTTTCAGTCCTATTACTTTTTTTGAGAAATCATATGTATAGCTAGGATATATTAATTGTAAATTAAATTTTAAGAAAAGAACATTTGTCATAAAAAGAGAGTCAAAGGTATAGGGTATTGACTCGCTGAGTCAAAGTTCAATGGTAGACTGTTTCTCCAACATTAGCAAGGCAATGGGTTCAAGCCCTAGTTCCTAAAAGAACACAAGAGAAAGGGAGACTAGAGAGGGACTAAAGAGGATAAATGTGGTCAGAGTATTTTATATATACATGCATGAAATGTACTAACTCGGGGCTGGAGCGAAGGCTCAAAGGTTAAGTGCAGTGGTTGCTCTTCCAGAGGACCTATATTCAATTCCCAGCACCCATATGTAGGCTCTGATGCCCTGTTCTGGCCTCGTGGGCACTGAACAAACATGCTGCACAGATATACTTGCAGGCAAACTAGCCATACACATAATATTAAGATAGAAGAAAAAGGGTTTTTGAAAGAAAATGTCATAATGAAACCTGTTGTTTGCAATTGCTATGCACTAATATAAAATGTAAGCAACAGAAAGAAGTCGTTGGGTCTCAGAAAACTGAGAAACACTGAGCTCCCTGGACAGAGCCTGACAGCTCTCAGGCCTCCTTCATAAGCTGCTGTAGTGAGTGGACTGAGGGCTGCACACAGAGGATTAAGAGGCCAAGACAACAGGGATACTGACGGCGGGGTGGTCCCGGCCCAGGGTGCTCTCCCGGATTCTGAGGGCATCATTCAGCAGGTGGGCAGCCTCCTTGTATTTATTCTGGTCCCTGCAGGCACAAATGATGAGGGTTAGCGTGCACCCTGTCCCCATCTCCTTCACCCCCTGCTTTTAAGAGGACTGAGGAACACGTAAAGATTAGGGACTCCCTTGAAGTCAGGAAGGCTGTTGGGGCAGGAATAAAGCTTCATGACACACACCAGGCTGCAAAAACACTGCCACAAACCAAACAGACCCACACATGCTCTGCAGAGAAACAAAGAGGCTGAGAGGTGAGTGTTCTCTGATGTCAGGGACTGGGAAAGTGAGAGTTCTAGTACCGGAGACACACCCTACAAGGTACCTCCAGCAGAGAGGAGAGGAGGCCAGGGGCAAGCTGTTACAGACAATGGAGGAGAATGATGCTCACCGATACACCAAAGCCAGGATGTTGAGCATAGTAGCCACATCAGGGTGACCTCGGCCAGAAGTGCGCTCCAGGTCCTCGAGTGCCTGCTTGCAGAGTGGCACAGCCACCTCATAGCGACCCTGAGCTGCATACTGGATGACCAGGTTGTGCAGGGTCCGCAACCTTGCTGGGATCTCATATCCGGCCTGCTGGGCTGCTGTAGCGCCCTGGTCACGGGACACTAACTCATCACAGAAAAGACAGGGCATTTCCTCAGAGGACTCCTCCTTTTCCTTTACCACCTGGTTTTTCGAGGCAGGGTTTCTCTGTATGGCTTTGGACACTGTCCTGGCATTTGCTCTGTAGACCAAGCTGGCCTTGAACTCACACAAATCCACCTGCCTCTGCCTCCCAAGTGCTGGGACTAAAGGCATGCGCCACCAACACCCGGCTAACACTGTTGTTCTTTTACCCAAACCCTTACACCTATGTCCATCACAATCCTATTTATTTTCTCACTAAGTCACTCAACTAACATTTACTCAATAAGCACATGCTAGAGGCACCCAGCAAAGCAAAAGTATGAAGGGCTTGGGGAATCCATGCAGCTCCAGCCCAGGGCTATTCTGCACTAGACTGTGAACTTACTGGTGGAACCAGTATCTCTTTCATCTTGGTATTCCTAGTGTACAACACACTTACTAAACGCGGATGGGCACAGGAGGAGGGGGTACTTCTCAAGTCCTAGCCAGGGACCCACCCAGTCTCCAAAGGAAGTGGAGAACTTATCTGTGGATGTAAAGTCCCTATTCAGAGGGGACCACGGCTTGAAGCAGCTTCCGGCTGCCCCTCATCACCCTCCAACCCCACAGGCAGACTCACAGCCATTGCTGGAATCTTCCTCCTCCTCGCTGGGGAAGAGGTCATCCAGGGAATCCTTAGTGGCATCTCCTTCCTTCTCCTCCTGGAAGAGAAAGGACAGCATGCCAGACCCCAGTGGCCTCTTCAGGGGTTCTTCTAAGCAACAAAATCAATGACCAGTAGGGCTGTTCCAGCCTCTGCCCCAGGAAAAGACCAGCAGCTGACCCAGCCACGCATGGTTATTTTAGACAAAAAAAACTCATGACTTTGATTCTCATCTAGAAAGTTCTCTTCCCAGCACCCTTGTTCTAAGCCTCCCTCTCTCTAACACTCACCTCTGGTGATTATAGCCCTATGTCAATCCCTGTGCGTTTACACTGATTATACGTCTCTCCTGAGGGGAAAGGGTATGTCTGCTCTTACTGACACGTACCCAAAGTGTCTAACTCAGCTTGGGCTCACCATCTCCCTTTACTTCCTAACACACTTCTATAGTGGAAAATGTACTTTCTCCATCAGGGATGGCAACCTTATATAAAGACTTCAAACCCTATCAGGCTTGTCAGTGTGTCCCCGGCAAACTGTCAGTTCACTGCCCCTGCACAGAAGGGCACTCTGGCCCTGGAGCCTTTCCCGTGATTCCCCTCCAGCCCAGAAACTTCCTCTTTCCCCTACATGATCCTTCAAAATCCAGCACAAGTCCTAACCCATTTAGGTGACCCTGCCTCCCTAATTGCTAAGCCATCCTGAACCGCCCCTCCTGTCTGAACCCTTCTGATCATCCCAGCCCGCAGAGACCAGCTCTGTGGAGTCCCTCTGTGCTGACTGTCTGTCTGCATGCCTTTCCCGTGATTCCCCTCCAGCCGGCCCGCAGAGACCAGCTCTGTGGAGTTCCTCTGTGCTGACTGTCTGCATGCACGCTGTGCACTTGCTGCCGGCCCTGTCAGCCGTGTCCTTGTGTATGAGCCCCGCTCTGCACAGACGTTGTAAGCTTGCCCTCAGTGTGAGAGAAAACTGTGAGGGAGTCTCCTGCCGAAGCGCGCTTTGCTTTCCCTAACCAACGCCTGTACGATTCTGGGTTTGAGTTGCCTGAATGTTTACCTTGCTCCACATACGGTTAACTGTGAGAACAAGCACTTCTGCCCCAGTCCCTAGGGGAGTACACATTTAATTAAAGTTGACTGAATAAGTCAAGATCATTTCCCCTTGCTGTCAAATCTGAAAAAAATTCTTCCAAGCGGGAACACGGCTAGGCACTGACGTTTCCTGTGGGATGATGGGCCAGTGCCCTGCCCATGGTCCCAGCAAACCCTGGTTATGCGCACTCACTGTGCCCTGGCCATCCTCATCATACTGGCGCAGCTGCCTCAGGAACTCCAGATGCTTCTTTTCTTCCTCCAGCTGGGCCACAGCCTGCTCACTACGCTGGAGCCGCTGCTGAGTGCCTGCCAGCTCATCCCGCAGCCACTGGTTCTCCTGGCAAAGCCGCCGTACTTGAGCCCGCAGCTTCTGCTTCTCTGACTCCACTGTGCTCAGGTGGCTGGCCAGAGCCAGCATCACCTAGGTGGGAACATCACATAAGAGCACCCAGGGGACAGGTGGCCTTCTGAGAGGGGGGCCAGTCTGGGAGAGGGGTAGAAGAAGCAGCAAGCGAGGAGGGGCTGGAGCAGTGCTCCCCACCCTAACTAACGCTGTGACCCTTTAATATGGTTCGTGTGTGTGTGTGTGTGTGTGTGTGTGAGTGTATACACACACACATACATACATACACACATACATATATATTTTATTTATTTATTTATTTATTTTCATGGACATTGGTGTTTTGCCTGCATGTGTTTCTGTATGTGGGTGTCAGAACCCCTGGAACTGGAGTTACACACAGTTGTGAGCTGCCATGTGGGTGCTGGGAATCAAACCCAGGTCTTTTGGAAGAACAGCCAGTGCTCTTAAACGCTAAGCCATCTCTCCAGCCCTTTAATACAGTTCTTCATGTTGTGGTGACCCCCAAATAAAATTATTTCGTTGCTACCTCATAACTATTAATTTTGCTACTGTTAAGAATTGTAATATAAATATCTCATATGCAGCATATCTGATGTGTGACCCCTGTGAGAGGGCTGTTTGACCCCAAAAGGGATTTTGACCCATAGGTTGAGAACCACTGGACTGGAGAGCTGGCTCAGTGGTTAAGAGCACTGGCTGTTCTTCCAGAGGACCCAGGTTCAATTCCCAGTACCAACATGGTAGCTCACAACTGTATGTAACTCCAGCCCCAGGGGATCAATGGCCTCTTCTGGCCTCTACGGGTCCCTGGGTACCAGGCACAGACATAGTATACAGACATAAATGCAGACAAATCCTACATGCATAAAGTACACGAATTAAATAAAGACACCCTCGACCCCACTTGTTTTCTCCACCTCCACCGTTTGCATCAGATGCCGAAACACCAGTTCCCACCAAGCAACAACAGTCCTCACGGGTCTCCCTAGTGTCTGCCCCAGAGACGCAGGGCCTCGGGTTGAACCCCATCACTCCTTAGAACATAGCTCCCATCTCTCTCCGTGGAAAAGCAAAGAGCCCAGGACAGCCTACCCGCTCTGCATGACCTGTGCCCATCTCCAATGGCACCCTCTTCCTCCTTAATGGTCTCCCGTCACTCATCATTCACGCTGAGAGAGTCGCACCAGCCAGGCCCTTGCTAACCATGAGACTCACCAGCCAGGCTCAATGGAAGGCCCTGGGACCTGTCCTTCCTCTTGGGGACCTGCCTCTTCCAGGGCTCGATCCCTCAACCTCAGATCTCTTCTCAAATGCCGCCCTTTGAGTGAGGCCTTCTGTGACCACCTCTCGGCTTTGCTTTTATCTTTCTGCCCTCAGCAATGATCGCTCTGGCACAGTACACCATTTCCTTACTCACCTGTGTCCTATCTACGTCTCCCAGCTACACTATCACCTTCAAGATGACTAAGAATTGCACTGCTGTGCTCTGAGATGCGTCACCGGCACTCAGAAGAGCTGGCACACAGTAGGTACTTTATAAATATGTAATGAATGAACAAATCTAAGTTCCTAGGACAAGGTGACCCCACCTTGCATTAGCTAGCTGAGCCTCTATGGACTCTGGCAACACTTGGCATCACCTGTTACTCTTACCTGGGCCTCACTCAGTCCCAGTTCAATGTTCTCCATGGACCGTCGCAACTGCCGGGCCTTCTCGTGCACCAGCCCTTCCTCATGGCCTCCTTGTTGCAGACACTCAATGGTGTGGGACAGGCTCTGCAGCACAGCCTGATGCTCACTGTGTAGGGCCTCCAGCCCTTGGCTCACCAACCTGGTGCTGCCCAGGATCTCCTCTTGGCTGAGCCGGTGTCCTGCAGGCTCATCCCGCTGCCCCAACACCAAGCCTGACATCCTGGCAGGGCGGGTCTTGCCTGGGCTGGGGAGAAACCACAGGGTTCAGCTGGTCCAGACGGAAGACACACTGTCACAGCATGTCAGGGGTCCAAGTGAAGGGAAAAGAGTAGGGAGACCCTGTGACTGCGATTCAAGAGAATGAGTGAAGAGGGTGGACCCTATCACACTGCGCACAAAACTAAGGTGGCAAAGGAATTAACGGCCACGGATCTGTAGAATGAACAGAGCTATAGTGGAATTTGGGACTTGGCAGGTGGAGGGAGAGCATGGGTTAGGAAAGGGCAGCATTGTAAGGGTCTGGAGGGCACTCGGAGAGCTGCAGAAGGAGCAGGCTTAAAGGAAACAGGATCTGTGCAGAAGTCAGTACCCAGGAAAGGGGCAGGACTCTAGAGAGAGACGGGAAGGGTGGGGACAGAGGTCCTCATCACAGGGGTCTGGAGGCCGAGGGCTGAAGGTCCTCAGGCTGCGGCAGCAAAGCACTTAAGACCGGCATCTCCTTTCCAGCTAACCTTCAGGCCTCACTTGCCAGCCCCCCAACCCCCGCCCCCGGGGATTTAGAATGTCTTCCTACTTCCTCGACACTCCTCTCTGAAGTCTCCTTACCTGTGTACAGAGCAGAGCCCTTGGCGTCAGGCGGCTCCCAGGCCTGAGCCCGGAAGAAACTCTGAACTGCAGCTAAGGGTTTAGAAAGATCCGCACTGCCCAAAGTCCACAAGTCCGGCAGTCCCACCCCCTCGCTCGCTCTCACCACTTCACAGCCACCCCGAGGACCGGGGCACAGAGCCCCACCCAGGACAAACACCCTCCTCCCTCCTTCTGCCCACAGGTTCTTCAGAGAGTGGCTCTAATGTCCTTTCTTCCGTCACTCGGTCTCCTCATTCCAGGTCGGAGGAGTTAGTTGCTCTCTCCCAATAAGGGAATGAAAGACTGATTTAATCTGAGACCCGCGGCCAGGGGTGTGCCTGCGGAAGGCTGAGCAGGTTGTCACCCGGATGGCCGCCGCAGCCCCCTCCCGTGGCTTTATCTGTCATGGTCACCTCACCGGTACCTTGGGGTGCCTCTCCAATGCCTGCCGCTTCAGGGACGCATAGCAGATGTGAGAGCAGAGTGGGGTGGCAGGGAAAGGTGCCGGGCGCTGGCCACCCCGGCCGGGCTGCAATTCACGAGTGCCGACGGTGGCTAACTTGCGTAGGGGCAGGCCCCGGGTGGCGGACGGCGTGACGCGGCGGGGACTGAGGGGAGGAAGGTGTGAGTGAGGCCAGAGTCGCCCATCGAGCCCCGCCAGCGGACAGGCTCGAGGTCACAGAGTCAGGCGGTCCCGCGGGGGGCGGGGCAGGCTGTCCCTCGGTCTGTCTGCACGCCGAGGGGCGGGGCAGGACCGCGGGGGGCGGAGCCTTAGCCAGCCTGGAGTTTTGTGAGGTTGATCGCAAGTGCTCTCTGCACTTGTCCCGGAGTGTGGGTGTAAGGGTGGGTGCGGTCTGAACCCCCAGCCCCGGGGTTACTCCCGCAGACTCACCTGCAGTCTGTTGGCCCGGCTGCTGCCTTGGCCGGTGCGGCCCCTTTAAATTCAGCATGGCTGCCGCTCGAGGCGATTGTTTTGACGGCCCTGAGGGGCGGGGCCTGTCCCGCAGTCACGTGACCTCCGCGCCCGCCGATAATTGGCCGAGGGCTCGTTCTCCAAGGCAGGAGAGGAAGTGTGGACCCCGCGGCGCTCTAGTTAGGCGCCGCCTCCTGCGTCATCGGGGAGCGACAGTGCCGGGAGTGAGACGTCATCCGGGAGCACCGAGCTCCGACTGAAGGGTCCAGCGCGCAGTCCCGAGGAGGGCGACCGCCCCTTGGGCATGTACTCGCTCACTAGTGCTCTGCGCTCTCTGAGCCTGGCATCCCCGGCCATTACCGCCCGGCTTCCGACTCCGCTCCCTGCTGCCCAGGTAATCCGCTTACCTGGGAACTAGGCTGTCAGTGATCCGGCGAGGCCAGCCACAGGCACGTGACCTGCGCAACTAGCCTTCATCCTCTGCCCCTTATAGACGTTGCTCTCTCAGGAGATACTAGCCTGTCAGTGCTTTTGCAGATCTCTGCTAAACAGGTAGCACTAGTCACACTTATGTGCCTACGGTAAACAGGCACAATAGACGGCTGCAAAGAACGGACTCCTTTCAGCCAAGTTGTTACGCACGTTTTGCAGATGAGAAGACTGGGCAGCGGTCTAAGGTCATACACTTTTGGGGGCTAAACTGGGCTCAGAGCTTGCTTTTGTTTTCGTTATGGTGCTGGGACGTAAACCCAGGACCTTGCTCATGCTACGCACTCCCACCACTGAACTACACTCCACCCCAAGGCCAGTGCTCGTAACTATTTCAAAGTAACGATGGCTTGTGGCTGAGATTAGAGAACGTAGAAATTTGGAATAATAGTGGGCAATGGTGAATCACAGAAAAGAGAAATTACCAGCCCTACGTCTCTGAACTTCTCAGGCTGAGTACGGCAGAATTTAACAAACGCATATTTGATGTTCCAAACTAAACCAAACTACTCTGAAGAACTGGGACTACAGCAGGTGGAAAACCAAAGCAATCATTTCCATTCATAAGTGGAAATTCCGGGAAACGTGCAGAGAGCAAAAGGCATTGGTACTGATGGTGGTATATGGGTGTGTGGGATTTACCAGCTCTGGAGAAGGGAATTCTGTAGGGAAGAAAAGGTTTCCTGACAAGAACTTGAAACAAACTGGAAGATGATGAAAGGAAGGAATCTTCCAGAGGTGAGAGGACCAAACATTTACCACTCACACACCTGGATGAGCATATATTGCACTGGTGTCTGTGGAAGTGGGTTGGAGGTTTAGGGACAGTGGCCTGAGATGCTTCTGAGACCAAGTGGCCTGCATGCTAAAGTTGGGTCTATGCACTCTCTCCCTTGGTTGTCTGAAGAGGATATTTCTTATCCCTAGATACTGAGCAATGCTCTGCAACAGCCCTCTGCCTTCGCGTTGCCTTCTCATCGACCAGTGCATCTGTCTGTGGACCTTAATGCCAATTTTGTGTCCTGGAAGAGTCGTACCAAGTACACAATTAAACCAGTGAAGATGAGGAAGTCTGGGGGTCGAAACCATACAGGTGGGAGAGAGGGCCTGAAGCATCAAGGAGAAAAATGCATTAGGATCTGAGGTGTCTGGAGTAGTGCACTATAGCTTGTAAGATGTCAGACGCACAATTACAAAGTATTCATTGAGGTGCTCCTTAGTACATGGATAACTTGTGAGGCTGAAGAATAGACCACATAGGAACAGTCGACTGGCTTAATGCAGGAAATGCCATGGGTTTTTTTTTTTTTTTTTTTTTTTTTTTTTTTTTTTTTTTTTGTTTTTTAGTTTTTTGATAGGGTTTCTCTGTGTAGCTTTGGAGCCTGTCCTGGAACTAGCTCTGTAGACCAGGCTGCCCTTGAACTCACAGAGATCTGCCTGCCTCTGCCTCCTGAGTGCTGGGACTAAAGGCGTGCACCACCAACACCTGGCTGCCTTGGTGTTTTTAACTTTCCCCAAATTTATAACAGTTGAAATTACCGGAGTCCAATTTGTAAGCCAGGCATTGGTGGTGCATGCCTTTGATCAGGCGGGTCTCTGTGAGTTCGAGGCCAGTCTGGTCTACAGAGTGAGTTACAGGACAGGCTCCAAAACTACACAGAGAAACCCTGTCTGGAAAAACCAATAAATAAATAAATAAAAGAACAATTAGTATCCCTCTCAGTAAACTTACTGAATTTGGTAATTGGAAAAGACTTTATCTGTTTCATACAATTTTAGTAATTCTATTTGTATTGAGTCATGTGTTACCTCATCCCTTTTGCCAAGGATGTTGTGGCCCTCATGCCCACATGCTATGCATTAAACCTACAAGACAAACTCTACCACTGAGCTACACCCCCAGCCTTTGGTCACTTTTCTGTCTGTGATGTAATATTGAGGGCTACTATCTAGTCTAGACAAGGCCTGTTATATGCCGAAAGCTATTCTAACCTGAATTATATCCCTGAACTCTCTGGACTCTAGGCCGTATCCAAGTACACGGTATTGGTGGGGGCCACAAGCAGAGGTACAGAATGATTGACTTTCTACGGTTCCGGCCCGAGAAAGATGCCAAGCCAGAACCCTTTGAGGAGAAGGTTGTCGTAGTCCGCTATGATCCATGTAGGCAAGTTTGGGATGTGAGGTGGTGATGGTATGATCTGAATTGTCATTCTGTAGCTTCTCGGGAAATATGGGCCTTCTTGATGGTCCACTCTCTTGTCCATCATCTTGAACAGGTCTGCAGACATAGCTCTGGTTGCTGGGGGCAGCCGGAAACGTTGGATCATTGCCACAGAAAACATGAAGGCAGGAGATACAATCCTGAACTCCAACCATATAGGAAGAATGGCAGGTGAGAGATGGCGCTAGATGAGTGGGGTGGAACTTACAAAGGGTCTATTGCTGGTGAACCCCTGTCTTGTAGTGGCTGCACAGGAAGGGAATGCATATCCTCTTGGGGCATTGCCTGTGGGGACCCTCATCAACAATGTGGAAAGTGAGCCTGGCCGAGGAGCCCAGTATATCCGAGCTGCAGGTACGGGAAAAGGATCTGCCCACGTTCCACAATCGGGAAGACCCAGGGGTATCTGACATCACTATCCTCCGAACCCTTAGGATCACATCTGTTCCACAGACAGGAAAAAACAAGGAACGAGAGGATGAATATGTGCTTTGTTTTAACCTAAGTCAAGTGTGTAGTCTTCTGTGTTTCATGTGCCCCTAAAGGGCAGAGGGTAGCAGATGGCCTAGATCCTCATGGAAACCTCCTTCTCGTCTGTGGAGGGTGGCAAAGCTGTTTCTCCCTTCCCTAGGGACATGTGGCGTGCTGCTTCGGAAGGTGAATGGAACAGCCATTATCCAGCTGCCCTCTAAGAGGCAAATGCAGGTATATGTGGGCACAAGTGGGAGCGGTCAGCAAGAAGGACTTTCTGGAATGTTCCTCACCAGCTCTAAGTGTTGATGATGCCAGGAGCTGCTGTGTGTCCCTCTCTGCCACCTGAATAAGCATGCCGTCTCAGGTTGGCACCTTAATGGGATAAGCTGAGATACCTTTTCTCAGCTGGGCGTGGTGCTGCATGCCTGTAATCCCAGCACCCCAGAGTCAAGGAACGAAGCCACCTGGGCTGCATGAGACCTTTTCAGGAAGCCAGGGAAAGACAGATGTGGGTTGAACAGTCAGGTTGGAGATGGCTTATCATCTCATCGTTCAAGAGGCAAAGGCAGGGGGATTTGAGTTCTGGGCCAGCTTGGTCTACATAGCAAGTGCCAGAACAGCCAGACTCCAAAAGAAAATCACAGAAACAAAAAAGGGAAGTCTTTTTAACTACTCAGTTCATCCCGTCTAACCCACACTTACAGTCTACTACTTTGTGTTTTCTGCCTTCTCCCTTCCCTCGTTGAGCTTAAGAAGCCACACAGAGCCTCGCTCTCGCCCCTGCCATGCCTGCCCCTTGTCCACTCTCTTCTGCCTCTCTTATCAGGTGCTGGAGACATGCACTGCAACTGTCGGCCGAGTTTCCAACGTTAATCACAACCAGCGAGTCATCGGCAAGGCAGGCCGGAACCGCTGGCTGGGCAAGAGGCCCGACAGTGGGCTGTGGCAGCGCAAGGGAGGCTGGGCGGGCCGGAAGATTCGGCCACTGCCCCCCATGAAGAGTTACGTGAAGCTGCCCTCTGTCGCTGCCCAGAGCTAATACCCGTGACTCTAATAAATTGACCCCTGTTTTTATCCGTTACTGCCTTCTCACGTTGGAAGGGCGGGGTACAGCCGGGACGTGGAGTAAACAAGAGTAGAAGGAAGAGGAAGGAAGAGACAGGATGGGGAGGGGGAAGACATGACCTCCAAGGTCTTTTTCCAGTTCTGGCGATGGGAAAGGGGAAGGCACTTCCGGCAGCAGGAAGGAGGACTAAAAGGAAGAGGAAAGGGCGGCGCGGTGCTGGAGGGCCGCGTCGCCGAGGTGGCACCCGCGGCTCCGCCCGCCGCAGGCCCCTGGCCCCCGGCTTTCCTCCCGGTCTGGCGGAAACGAGCGGTGGCGGAGTGGGGCAGCCAAAGCGCTGAGCGCCCCAGCTGGGACCAAGCCCCGCCCTGCAAGCGCTGCGCCGGCGCCGAGGCCAAGGCCCCGCCCTCTGCCCGCCCGCCTCCCGCAGAGGCACGCCCCCTCCTCTGCGCCGCGACCCCCTCGGGGGCCCAGGCGGGGCCCAAACACTCGCCAGCGCCGCAGCCGCCATCGTGTTCCTCGCGTCCCTAGCTCTGCAGAGGACAGGCCTCGGCCAGGATCCCGGCGGACTTCTGAGGTGGCCAGAGCCCCACCGCGGCCCCTGCCTCTATTCTGGGCTTCCGATCGCCCGCGGAGCCTCCCGTCCCTTTCCCCACCATGCTTTAGGACTCTCCTTTATTGGGCCTGTCCTCCCCATCCTACCCCGCCGCGACCGCTCCCGACCTTATCAGGCCTTGGTTCCCATCCACCAAGCCTCGCGCCCCTTACCCATCGGACCCCCGGAGCACTTTTCCCCTGGCCTCGCGTCTTTCCCCTGCCCCCCTTCTGCAGTTGCTCTCTGGTCATGGTGTCTCCATTCCTAACCCTTCTCCCAGTCCATCATGCTTTGCTGATGGCCATTTCACCGTCAGCGCCCTTGCCTTTTGGGACTCACAATACAGTGCTTCAATTTAGAGATTGCATCCCTCTCTGACACAATCCTGTGCCTTCACACACCCCTTTCCTTGGGTGACCTTTATCTGTCCCAGGATCTTGGGCTTCATTTGTAAATCTAACACTGCCCTAAACCGCCGCCGCCCCTCTGGTCGTTCCGAACCAACCCACTCGAGGCTGCATGCTTTGGAGACCTTTTAGCTCTTGAAGAACAATTTCAGCAGTGTTCTCTCCGGTCCCGGTCTCACCCAGCCCCAAGCAGGCCCAGCTCTACCCCACCCAGGCTAACAGCTGTTGCTGCATTTGCTCCTCTTAACTCCTGGATGCCCTTGATTTTCTGACCTCCCCTCTCACTCTAGCTTGCCTTTTCTCTCTTCCTTGTGTGTCTCAGGTGCCAGCATGGTGGGGGAACTCCGCTACAGGGAATTCAGGGTGCCCCTGGGGCCGGGCTTGCACGCCTATCCGGATGAATTGATCCGCCAGCGAGTAGGCCATGATGGGCACCCTGAGTACCAGATCCGCTGGCTCATCCTCAGGCGTGTTGACGATGGGGAAGGGGACTCTACCCAAATGGAATGCAAGGCCGAGCATATCCTACTGTGGATGTCTGACGATGAGATCTATGCCAACTGCCACAAAATGCTGGGCGAGAATGGCCAAGTCATCGGACCTTCCCAGGAGTCTGCAGACGCTGGGGCCCTCGACAAGTCTGTGCTTGGGGAGATGGAAACAGATGTGAAATCCTTGATTCAGAGGGCCCTTCGTCAGCTGCAGGAGTGTGTGGGAACGGTTCCCCCTGCCCCTCTCCTACACACCGTCCACGTACTCAGTGCTTATGCCAGCATCGAGCCTCTCACTGGAGTCTTCAAAGACGCCAAAGTCCTGGATTTGCTCATGCACATGCTGAGTAGTCCTGATTATCAGATCCGCTGGAGTGCGGGCCGGATGATCCAAGCTCTGTCCTCCCATGATGCTGGTGAGGGGCAGTTTGGGGAGGAAGGGAGAACAGGAAAGGGTCTGGGTCGGCTCAGGGATTCCCAGGACACTGTGACAGGAACCTCTGACGTCATCAGCACCTAACGGTTCTGTAGTCATTCACTTTTAAGTTGAAAGAAAAAAGTGTATTGGGGGGGCTAGGCAGATGTTTGGTGGAGGGAGAAGAGACCGAATAAGCAAGAACATATTAATTCATTAGCTTTTATGCAAAAGAAGAGCTTAGGCTGTTGCAGTGTGTGTGTGTGTGTGTGTGTGTGTGTGTGTGTGTGTGTGTGTGTGAGAGAGAGAGAGATAGTAAACTTTGGCTCTAAAAGCAAATCAACAAAATATGTCATTCCTGGTGAGTGCTGGCAAAGGATTGTTATTAAGGAGAGGACTGGCGAACTTAGGGAGCTGCTTCTGATTGGAGGTGTGGATTCCAGGGACCCGGACCCAGATTCTTTTGTCATTGAGCCAACAAGAGGCTATTGAAAAACACCTGGATTTTGACAGCCGCTGTGCGCTGTTAGCCCTCTTTGCGCAGGCTACTCTCGCCGAACACCCCATGTCTTTTGAGGGCGTTCAGCTACCACAGGTATCTTGTGAGGGTGTGGGGTAGTGGGAGCTGTGGTCTTGTCACGGAGGAGACTGGAGGGGACAGAAGGTGAGGACGAGGTGAGTGAGAATCAAAGGTGTATCCACAGGTCCCAGGACGGTTGCTCTTCTCCCTGGTGAAACGGTACTTGCTTGTCACCTTCCTCCTGGACCAGCTGAGTGGCAGTGCAGGAGAGCAAGGAGCCCAGAACAGCTTTGTTCCTGAGGAGCTGAATGTAGGGAGGGGCCGGCTGGAACTGGAATTCAGTATGGCCATGGGCACTCTGATCTCTGAACTGGTGCAGGCCATGCGCTGGGACTGGGCCTCAGGCAGAGCAGGGAGGTTGGCTCGGTCCTCCGCGTCCATTTTCCAGCCTCAGCCAGCAGATGCCAACCCAGAGTTCCCCCGCCCCCACGCCCAGGTTATCAGGAGGTCAAAGCGGTTTCGCCCCCGCACTGAGTTTGCAAGTGGCAATGCCTATGCCTTGTATGTGCGGGACATGCTGCAGCCTGGGATGCAGGTACGGATGCTGGATAATTACGAAGAGATCACTGCTGGGGATGAGGGCACGTTCCGACGGAGCAATGATGGTGTGCCCCCTGCACAGGTGAGGGCTGCATGGTGATGGGACACTGAAAGATTGTTCTGGGCTTAACTTCTGTACAGGCTCTTAGAGGCTAGCTCCGTTAACATGAAGCAAAAGGCAAGGGGGTTAACAGTTGAGAGAAGGGCCACTTGGAGAGCTTGGGATGCCTGGGTATAGGATGTCCAGACCCAGGAAGAAACCGATAGCTCAGAACCGGGAAGACGGAAGCGTAAAGATGGAAGGCGCAGGCATGGAAGCACATGCTTGTAAACCCAATACTGAGGACGTAGGGCAGGAAGATCAGGAGTTCAAGGCCAGCCTTGGCTACTTAGCAATGTTGAGACTACAGGAGACCCTGTCTGAAATAAGACTAGACTAGATGGAGAACAGAGGTAGAAGAGGAAGGCGAGGCTGTCTGTACTCGTATACCAGTGTTTGGCTGGTTGGAGGTGGTTACACTGCGGATTGTGAGCCCCCCTTGTGGGTCCGCAGCCCGCCAGTAGCAGGGCTTCTCTCCCCCCCCCATCTCCAGGTGTTGTGGGAGTCAACGGGCCGCACCTACTGGGTACACTGGCACATGCTGGAGATCCTGGGCTTTGAGGAAGACATTGAGAATGTGGTTGAGGCTGCTGAGTACCAGGGGCCAGTGGTCAGTGGAGCATTGGGTGTAGGTGAGCTCTGGGCGGGTCAGCTCTGAGCAGGGACGCAGTGGGCTTCCTGGGTGGGCAGTGACGGCCACACCCCGTTTTCACAGCCCCGCCCTCCCAGCACTGGAAGCCCATAACTGAGCTCTTTGCTGTGCCTTATGTGGTGCCCGAGGAGGAAGACAGGGAAGAGAGGGAGCACCTAACCCAGGCTGAGTGGTGGGAGCTCCTCTTCTTCATCAACAAGTTAAATGCAGCGAGCCATCAGCGCGTTGTGCAGCTCCTTCAGAACAATCTGGATGGGGAGGTAGGCCCCTCCCTAGACGCTGCCTGCGGTCAAGTTTGGGAGGGGGGGCGGGAGGTCAGACAGCACCGCGCCCACAGGGGAGGAGTCTGCAATGTTCAGAGATGCACGTGTTGGTGGGTCTCGTTCTAAGAAGGCTCGCATGGCGGATGTGTGTAGAGAGCCCCGTTCCTACAAAGCAGCTGCCTGCACAGTGACTGTCTCCCCGCAGCATATTCTGAACAGTGAGATGCTGCCCGAGCTGACCGTTCCCATTGAGCTGGCCCAGGACCTACTGCTCTTTCTGCCTCAGCAACTTGATGACAGTGCTCTGAGGGACCTGTTCAGCTGCTACGTCTACAGGAAGTATGGTCCCGAAGCCCTGGCAGGGCAGCTAGGCTACCCATACCTGCTAGGTGCCCAGCAAGGTGTTTTCACGTTCAAAGCTGAAGGAGTGGCAAGTGCAGAAGGTGGGTACCCTGCGGATAGCAGCTGAGACACCTTCTTTTGGGAAGGCGTCCTCATAAGGGGTCTCTGCCAACTGTTGGGCCCTCTCGTCTGAAAGACACATCCTACCCAGAACCCATGTGTGTGCGTGTGCACACCGGACGACAACTACAGATGCAATTCCTCAGCTACCATTTATCTTTTCATTTACGTAAATTAATCTTATTATAGCCAGGGGGTGGCGGCGCATGCCTTTAATCCCAGCACTCAGGAGGCAGAGGCCGGCAGATCTCTTGAGTTTGAGGCCAGCTTGTTCTGTAGAGTGAGTTCCAGGGATACACAGAAACCCTGTCTCAAAAAACACCAAGCCAAAAAAAAAGAAACAAACAAAAAAGCCACTTTTATTATATGCATCTGGGTGCTTTGCCTGCCTGTGTACTATGTGCCCACAGTGCCCACCACAATGGCCAGAAGACAGCATTGGCCCTCCTGGGGTTGAAACTCAACAGATGCTTGTCAGCTGCCATGTGGGTGCTGGGAACTGAACCTGGATCCTCTGCCAGAGAGCCAGTGCTCTAAACTGTTGACCCATCTCGAGCACCACCCCCTCACTTTTTCTAGGCAAGTTCTCTTGCTGCCCTGGTTCTTGCCAGATAGGCTAACGGGCCAGAAAACCCCAGGGATCCACCCATCTCCACCTATTCAGTCCTGGGATTACAGGCATGAATAATCGCCACGCCTAGTTTTCGTTCTGTAAGGAGATACATGTATGTATGTATGTATGTATGGGGGGCAACCTAGCAAGCGAAAGGAGGTTGTGGATACTTGGAGCTGGAGTGGTCATGAGCTTCCTGCCACGGGTACTGGCAACTGATGGATCCTTTCCACACCCCTTTCCTGTAGCATCTCAGAGTGCCAGCCCTGCCCTGCAGCAACTGGTGGAGGGCCTGGGCCCGTCCGGGAAGCTCCTTGTGTGTCTAGAGCAAGCCCTCAGCTCCGAGGCTCCCCAGGAGACTGAGGTCAGACCATGGCTGCTGCGGCTCCAGCGGCAGCCACAGCCCTTCCTCACACTGATGCAGAGCCTGGACACTCCGGCCACCAACAAGGCCCTGCACCTGTCAGTGCTGAGGTGAGGTGTCGTGAGGGCAGGGTGGGCACAGCAGAGCCTCAGGCCAACTCTAATCCCCCGCTGCCTTCCCTCCCCTGTCTCCCCGCAGACTCCTAACGAAGCTGGTGAACTTCCCTGATGCCTTGTTGCTACCCTGGCACGAGGCCATGGACGCCTGCATGGCCTGCCTTCGGTCCCCCAACACTGACCGAGAGGTAGCCCTGTCCCACTGTGGGGAGATGCTGGGACGGGGTTGACAGCAGCGACGCGGATCCCCTAGGGGCGCAATAGAACCTCTGTGCTCTCGGGCTAAGTTTTGCTTTTAAACTGAAATTGTATTTTTCTAAATAGGTAACACATTCACAAAGCTCACAATGACACAAGGTATTCATGGAGAATTCTGGCTCCTACCTAATTTCTATCTCCTCACTGTCCCCCCACCACACTCCTTATGGTAACCCACCCATATTAATTTATATGTCTGTCCTGTGTTTCCTTATACAAATAGAGCTCCAGGGGCTCCTCTTCAGCCAGGCCTTTCAGAGGAAGGGGAGGGACCGGAGAGACAACTCCGGTGTTAGGAGCACTGGCTGCTCTTGCAGAGGACCCAGGTTTGGTTCCCAGCACCCACCCATCTGTAACTCTAGTTCCACGGGACCAGATGCCTCTTCTGGCCTCCATAGGTACCGCACACATGTGGTGTAATGCACACATGCAGGCAAACACGTGCATGCATAAAATAAACGAACTTTAAAGAGAGGAAGGGGAGGGAGGGAGGCTAAAGTTTCTATAGGAGGCTCTGGGCACGGAAGGCTTCAGAAGGGTCAGAGGTCATGGTGCTGTGAGTGTCAGTTTCCAAGCTAGAATCACTGAGGGTCCACAACCAATTCAGGCCTTCTCTATTTCTCTGAATTGTCTGGGCTAGTGCCAGACAATCCTGTAACTGGTTCTTGGGAGCCACACCTGAATCAAAAACCCCCTCTGTACCTGTTGCAAGCATACTTAGTGGACAGGAGCCCTGGGCTGGGGGGGGGACGACTCTTGTGACTTAATTCTCTAATTCCACCTGGCTTCTGTACCTCTCCTACATCTGTCACAGCTCCCAGCACAGTGTGGGCATGTATCACCACCGCTACCCATTTGGCCCTTGCTGGCCCCTTAGTCACTGCCTCCTTGACACCCCCTCCCAGGTACTCCAGGAACTAATCTTTTTCCTACACCGCCTGACCTCCACTTGCCGGGACTATGCGGTGATACTAAACCAGCTGGGAGCGCGAGATGCCATCTCCAAGGCCCTGGAAAGGCACCTAGGGAACCTGGAGTTGGCTCAGGAGCTGCGGGACATGGTGTTCAAGTGTGAGAAACATGCTCACCTCTACCGGAAGCTCATCACCAACATCCTGGGGGGCTGCATCCAGGTCAGGAGGAAGGGAAGTCGGGGTGGGTCTGCGCCGCAATGGCTGGGGTGGGGTGGGGTGTGCATTCCTGAAACCCGGAATAGCAGAATGGCTCGAGAGAGCCTGGGATCATCCGTTCCCTCTCTGTTTCGCCTTTCTTCCATCTGTGTTTGCATGAGTCTTGGGTCCCTCTGTGCGCACGCTCACCTTTCTCTGACGTTCCGGCTGCAGATTGTGCTGGGCCAGATTGAGGACCACAGACGAACCCACCGGCCCATCAACATCCCTTTCTTTGATGTGTTCCTCAGGCATCTGTGCCAGGGTTAGTGCCCTCCTCTACTTTCCCCTGGGCTCCCACCCAGCATCTCCTTTCCCCTTCCACTCTGCAGGCCCTTTCGTTACCTCTGACCGTGTGTGGTCCCCTGACCCGCCCCCACTTTCCCCAGGCTCCAGTGTGGACGTGAAGGAAGACAAGTGCTGGGAGAAGGTGGAGGTGTCCTCCAACCCACACCGGGCCAGCAAGCTGACAGATCGCAACCCCAAGACCTACTGGGAGTCCAACGGCAGCACCGGCTCCCACTCCATCACCCTGCACATGCGCCAAGGGGTCCTTATCAGGTAATGAGCTCCCACGTGCAGACGTCCAGCTAGAGTCAGCTGGGCTGCAGTGTGGGGGTGGCAGGTTCCAGTTCCCATTGGTTCTTCTTCCCCACTCCCAGGAAGCTAACTGTACTGGTGGCGGCTGAGGACTCAAGCTACATGCCAGCCTTGGTGGTGGTGTGCGGCGGTGACAGCATCAGCTCTGTTAACACAGAACTCAATGTGGTAGGGATCCCTATGCCATTAGCCCACCCTTTGCAGGATCTTTCTTCCCGCCCAATTTTACACTCCTCCTCACTGTGAGCCCCATACAAACGAGTCTAGTGTCCTTGCGCCTATGTGATGGCATTAGGCATGGGGCAATGGGAGGGGCTAGAGGCCTTTGTCAGCTGGGATCTGGGAAGAGGGCTAGAGCTGACAGAGCTGTCCTCAGCAGCTCCATCAGTGCCCAGGGAGGTGACATCCCTCTCTGCCACTCACCAGGTGAATGTGATGCCCTCCGCCAGCCGGCTAGTCCTTCTGGAGAACTTGACCCGATTCTGGCCCATCATCCAGATCCACATAAAGCGCTGCCAGCAGGTGGGGGATTGGGGTGTGGGGAGTGGCGTCTGGGTACAGGTCGCTGAGCCCCAACACGAGGATAAAACCCAGCTCCCTGTTACCAGATTGCCCCACATCAGCCCCGAGCCCTGATACCTCTGTAGATCCTGAGTCTGGGTCTGGGATAGTTCAGGGGTGAAACTTGAAGTGTAAACCACCCCTGCCTATCTCAAGGAGGGTGTGGAGCAGCAAAAAACAGGTCTTGTGTGTAATAGGGCGGCATCAATACACGCATCCGGGGACTGGAAGTCCTGGGCCCCAAGCCCACCTTCTGGCCAGTATTTCGAGAGCAGCTGTGCCGGCACACACGCCTCTTCTACATGGTTCGGGCACAAGCATGGAGCCAGGACATAGCAGAGGACCGCCGAAGCCTCCTGCACCTGAGTTCTAGGTATGTGAGAGCTTGCACGAGCATCTGTGTGGGAGGTTGGGTTCAGTAGATGAATTATAGGTGGAGTCCTTACGATGCCGTGGGATAAGTCATATAGACAGGGCTTGGGGATGGTCAACAAATTCTGACATATAGGGCTGATGAGAAGAAGAGATTTCTCTGAGTGCTGGAGTGAAATACCCTGGTAGTCAGGGCTCTTCTGGAATATCAAGTTGGCTGCTGGGCTAAGTGTAAACCATAAGGCCCGAACCTCCTCCTCCTCCCTAGACTAAATGGGGCTCTGCGCCAGGAGCAGAATTTCGCTGATCGCTTCCTCCCTGACCACGAGGCCGCCCAAGCCCTGGGCAAGACGTGCTGGGAAGCGCTGGTCAGCCCCCTGGTGCAGAACATCACCTCTTCCTATAACCACGGTAACCACCCCACAGCAGGGCCTGCTCATCAGCTCTTCCTTGCCCTAGACACACCTGGGTTCCGTTCTTTGCCCTTCGGTCTTTGTTTGCCACCCTTGTCCCTTCTCTTCCCAGCCAGAACTTTTCCTGGCCCCGTGTGCCATTGTCTCTGTCCCTCGTTCAGCTTACCATCTCCACTTCCCAGAGACGAGGCGTCCTTTGTTTTTTTCTTAACCCCCAGATGAAAACAGCACCAGCTCTCTGGGGTGGCTGCTGGACCAGTACCTGGAGTGCAGGGATGCCGCCCACAACCCCCAGAGCCGTGCAGCTGCTTTCTCCTCACGGGTCCGCCGCCTCACCCACTTGCTGGTCCACGTGGAGCCCTGTGAGCCATCGTCTCACAAGGTGGCCATCCCTCAATCCAGTGAGTACTTCAGATCCCGGCGGGATCTCTCCCCCCCCCCCCGTCCACGGGCTCTGAAATTGTCCCCCTTCATGCCTGCGTGCTCAGTCTATCCATCTTCTGTTTGCCACCCCATCCCGGAACATCACTTTGAAGGACATCCTGTTGGGAAAGGCCTTCAGGGCTCCTCCTCAGGGAGGTGTGAGTCTGTGGGTCTTGACTCAGTACTTCTCTGTCTCCACAGAGGGCAGAAACAGAAGCCATGATTGGAGCTCCTTGGCCACGCGGGGCCTTCCAAGCAGCATCATGAAAACCCTGGCCCGCTGCTGGCGGGCTGTGGTGGAGGAGCAGGTGGGCTCAAGGGGACACAGTCGGGAGTAGGACACAGACAACCAGACAGCCAGCAAGGGTGTTGCTCGCTTCATGCTCCTGCCCTTCCTTTCAGGTGAACAACTTTCTGACCTCAGCCTGGAGAGATGATGACTTTGTGCCACGGTATTGCGAGCTCTTCTATAAGCTGCAGAAGTCGAGTTCTGAGCTGTTTGGGCCACGAGCTGCCTTCTTGCTAGCAGTACACAGTGGCTGTGCTGATGCCTTGCTGAGGCTCCCTTTCCTCAGAGCTACCCATGTAAGCTCCTTCCCATAATGCACCCGACCCTCTCCCTATAAACTCTCCCGCCTCCCCAAGTGGACCACCCCAGTCTCGATTCTGTGATGAGTGCTAGTTGTGTATGACCATGCATTGGAAACTAGGAAAAATTCATTACATACACCATGTTAGGATAGCAGACAGGCAGGCAGATAGATGATAGATGGAAGGAAGGAAGGAAGGAAGGAAGGAAGGAAGGAAGGAAGGAAGGAAGGAAGGAAGGAAGGGAAGAGGACGGAAGGGAGGGAGGGAGGGAGGGAGGGAAGAAAGAAAGGAAGAAGAGTCTCAACTTGTATCTCTCTGCCTCTACCTGGCCTCCTAGCCTTGAACTCGGGTTCGTATGCATCCCAAGTGCTGGGATTAAAGGTGTGAGCTACCACACCCAACTTTTTCAAAGGTTCATATATCCCCATCTGCCCTTAAACTCACTATGTAGCCCAAGAATGACTTGGAACTTGTGATGCTCCTGGAGTTTCAGGCATATACCATTATACTCTTCCATGGTCCTGGGGATTGGACCCAGAGCCTTGTGCTTGCTAGGCAAGTGCTCTACTCATTGAGAGCCACAATCCCTGCCCCTCCTTAATTCCTAAGCCTCCTCCTCTCCAGCACTAGGATAATAGATGCATGCCATCATGCCTAGCATTTCATTTTTCAGTGATTCTATTTTTAGACACTGTGGAGGAAACTGACTTCTCAGAGTGTTAGTGTTGCTCATCCGCACACCTGTGAGTGAAAGTGTCTGCCAGGCCAGGGCTGTGGCTCTGTGCTACTGTGAATGGCTATTAGTCCTCATTGCAACCCTAGTGCCTCCTAAAGGGGGCGTGGAGGCCACCCATACCTGCTTCCTCAGCCCTCCTTACTGCTGGGTTGGCTGGCTCACTCACCCCCGGTTTTCCTATGCTCTCCACTCAGGTGACCGAGCAATTTGCACGGCACATTGACCAGCGGATCCAAGGCAGTCGAATGGGTGGAGCCCGGGGAATGGAGATGCTGGCACAGTTGCAGCGATGCCTGGAGTCTGTCCTGATTTTCTCTAGCCTGGAGATAGCCACCACCTTTGAGCTTTACTACCAGTGAGTTTAGAGCTGTTGAGTAGGATATGGAGAAGAAGGCAGGCTCCTGGGGCAGGGCGAGCTCACAGGGTCTGAGTATTGAGACACAGGCAGGACAGAGTGAGGACCTGGGCCCAGCTGGCACCCACGCTGAGATCCGGCCCGACTGTGTGTGCTGCAGGCATTACATGGCTGACCGTCTCCTGAGCGTGGGCTCAAGCTGGCTGGAGGGGGCTGTGCTGGAGCAGATCGGCCTGTGCTTCCCCAGCCGCCTCCCCCAGCTGATGCTGCACAGCCTGAGCATCTCAGAGGAGCTGCAGCGCCAGTTCCACGTCTACCAGCTGCAGCAGCTCGACCAGGAGCTCCTCAAGCTGGAAGACACAGAGAAGAAGATACAGGTGGGTTCCAGGGACGGGATGGGCAGGGAGGAGGCCTCCAGCATGTGTGAGCTTTGTTCCCTTTCAGGTGGCCCAGGAGGACGAGAGCGAGAAGGAAGAGGCTGCTAGTGAGACAGTAGCTGTGGCTATGGCAGAGGAGGAGGAGGAGCTATATTATGAAGGACCAATGCCAGAAGTGTGTGTGCTTGTCCTGTCTCCACGCTACTGGCCTGTGGCCTCTGTCTGCCACATGCTCAATCCCACAACATGCCTGCCCCCGCACCTGAAGGGGATTCTAAACCACTACTCCAGCTTCTACAGCAAGAGTAAGCAACTGGAAGAGGGCTCAGGCTTTGGGGACAAGGGTAGGCTAACTGGGAAAGGGACCTAGAGTTGGAGTAGGTGCTGAAGCCTGCGTGGCTACAACCATAGCATCCCAGCATGCCCTTGTGCAGGGGGTATGTGATACAGGAGATGACTTCCTTAGGGGACAGGACGGATCTGAGGGAAAGTGGAAGAGGGTTAAGATTTAGCTGGAAATGAGGTTGCTGTTGGAATCCAGACCTCGGGAATCTCTCTGGGAATAGGGGACATGGAGGTATAAGACAGGCCACAAGAAAGGGCTGTAAGGGTGGGTGTGTGGCCAGGCACGGTGGGATACACATCAATCCCAGAGTTCTGGAGGCAGAATCAAATGGATCTTTAAGAGTTTGACTGGCATGGAAGGCAGTCTGCAGAGTGAGTTCTAGGCCAGCCAGAGCTACATCTAGAGACCGTCTCAAAAATGAACCAGAGAGTGGGTGTGTGCGTCTCCCTCAATGGTCACATTTAGTCTCTGGAGGTGAGACTCTAGACTGGACAACAGCGGGTGAAGAGCAGCGCCCCCCCCAGGAGGCCCAGACAGACGGGAGGACAAGCCCCCCCTAACTCAGGGATGCTTGTCTCTAAAACAACTGAACATAACTCAAAGGGCATGGCTGCGACCTGCTTGGCACAGACCGGTCCCTTGACACTCAAGGCTCTTTAGGGAAGCTGCGATCGGGAGCCACCATCCCCGAAGCCCTGCCTGGTTGCACACAGCCAAGCAGCAAGGCAGAGCGTGACTGCTGGGGCACGCCCCCCTCTCCCCTCCCCTCCTCTCCCCTGGCCCTTCTCCAGGTCAGAGCCACGCCAGAGTACAGGAAGGTCCACAGCGACGATTGCAGTGGACCTGGCAGGGCCGGGCGGAAGTGCAGTTTGGTGACCAGCTCCTGCATGTGTCCACAGTGCAGATGTGGCTGCTGCTGTATTTCAACGACGTAAAGGTGGCCTGTCCCCTCCTATTCACTTTGTCCCCCTCTTCCATCCTCTGGCCTCCTCCGTCCTCCCCAGTGCAGCGCTGGGGGGGACCTGAGCGCTTCCTACCTCTTCAAAGGTGGTGTCTGTTGAGAGCCTGCTGGCGCTGTCAGAACTCCCTCCAGATGTGCTTAATCACGCAATTGGGCCTCTCACTTCATCAAGAGGCCCCTTGGACCTTCTGGAGCAGAAAGATAAACCAGGAGGTATGCACTCAGGGCCAAAAAGGACTTCTGTGAGCCAGGGATGGGCTTCTCAGGGCTCTCCCCAACCAAGTGGCCAATGTTTATTTCAGGAGTGCTCAAGATTCGAGATGACAGTGAGGAACCCAGGCCGAGGAGGGGCAATGTGTGGCTCATCCCATCTCAGAGGTACCTGAAAGCTGAGGATGAAGAGGGCCGGAACTTGGAGAAGAGAAGGAACCTTCTAAACTGCCTTGTTGTCCGAATCCTCAAGGCTCATGGGGATGAGGGCGTGCACATTGACCACCTAGTCTGTCTGGTAAGCACTGGTGGGTGTGGCCATGGGGTGGGTCCACAGGACCACAGGAGGTGGTGGGCCCGCATCTGGTGTTGGGCTCACTGTGCAGCCTCTCTGTGACTGGGGACTGGAGTATGTGACCGGCATAGAAGGCAGATAGCGGCGGTAAGCTCCGTGGTTTTGACCTGTGTCCTCTCTGATCTTGGTCAGGTGCTGGAAGCTTGGCAGAAAGGTCCTTGTCCTCCCAGGGGTCTGGTCAGTAGCCTGGGCAGAGGGTCTGTGTGCAGCAGCACTGATGTCCTCTCCTGCATCCTGCACCTCCTGGGCAAGGGCACACTGCGGCGCCACGAGCACCGGCCACAGATGCTGTTCTATGCAGTCCCCGTAACCATCATGGAGCCCCACACCGAGTCCCTGAAGCCTGGATCGACGGGCCCCAACCCACCCCTGACCTTCCACACCCTGCAGATCCGCTCCCGGGGTGTCCCTTATACTTCCTGTTCTGGCACCCAGAGCTTCTCCACATTCCGGTAGCCCTAGAGATGGGGCCCAGGAGAGGTGAGGCTGGGGCTTTCTACAGAAAATAAAACATGCGAATTTGATGATCTGACTTGTTTGGTGGCTGCTAGAGTGAATGGGGCGGGAGGGGGCAATTCTAGTTGATGGGGAAAAAGTTCTCTGGCATTCAGGCCGTCTTCTGACACTTCAGGAATCTTGCTGAGGTGAGCAAGGTGGATTGGAGAGTAAAAGAATCAGATGTGTCCAGGGAGGGGGATTCAACAGCCAAGAATGGCTCCCAGCCCTTCCTCAGAGGGTGCGGCCAGGACTTTGACCTGGCAGCCAAACACCCAAGCCCTTGGTCACATGCTTTGTAGTTTGGGCAGGTGACCAAATAGGGCTTCATTTTCCTCATTTGTACAGCTGGGCAGGAGTGCCCAAGGGTTCTTGACAAGTAGCAGCTGGAAGCATTTAACACAGGGAAGGCCCTGCCAACAGTTCACGTGATTCAGCTAGCATTCCCAATGCCAACCTCAGTCGCTGGTGCCTTCCCTAAGTAAGGGTGTCAATGCGAAAGGGCTCTGCAAGTAATCAAACCCTTGACCACCGTCCACTGACGGCTTAGGACCTGGGGCAGAAACAGTCCTAAGGGGAACTGTAGCTTCTTTCTGCCCTCCTTACTCAGTCCTCCCTCCTCCAGTCAAGTAGGGCTGCACAAATCGTCCATAGGTTCCTGCCTCCAGCTTGCCCAGAGGCAAGCTTGCTGCTTGGCTATCTTGGCCCCACCCACACTGAACCAGGGTAGAATAGTCTAGAAAACCCAGTACCAGGGCAGATTAGTTTCAGGAGTGTAGGAGAAAGCAGTCTATGGCTGTTACGCATTAACGGGGAAGGGGGGAGGGGCAGGAAAAGTCAGGCAGTGAGAACACAAAGGCCAACTAGAAGGAGCTGCATGTGACCCCCTACAGACTGGATAGAAGGGCAAGAGGCCAGGGTTTGGGGGAGGGCATTGAGAACGAGCGACAAGAAAAGGCAGGAATGGGTGTGGCGGGGTGCAGAGCTCTGGTGGACTGGAGGGCCATCTTCCTTTGTTGCATTGATCCCATGATACCTTTGGTCTGTTAGCCCAGACTGTCCAGAAAGGCCAGAACATCAGTGGGCGCAGGGTACATGGGGACTGTTGCCATTTTTCACCTGGGAGGTGTTTAATTTACAATGTATCTTTATTTTATACTCATTGTTGGTTTGCCTGCATGTATGTTTGTGTGCGGGTGTGTGCAGGTGTCAGGAGCCATGGAACTAGAGTTGCTGACAGATGTGAGCTGCCATGTGGGTGCTGGGAATTGCTCTTAACCACTGAGCCATCTCTCCAGCCAAGGCCATTTTTGGACAGTGTTAGCCCAGGCCTGCCTGCCCCTAGAATTTAGGTACCCTGGGCTGACCTCAGGCTCATCTCAGCCTCCCAAGCGCTGGGATGACAAGAGTATGGCATATGGCCAGAACAGGTACTCAGGTAGTAACAACGTGCCAAAGCTTAGCTCCTCTGTGGGCTCTGGTGGCTGAGCCTGCACACACTGCCCACAGGAGAGGCTAGGCCTCACTTTCCAGCACTGTCACTGCCCCAGAGCCCCTGCATTCTCGGGACAGCCAGCCCCAGAGGCACAGGGCTGCCCACTCATTGCTCACCAGCAGTGGGCAGTCTCCATCTAGCAATACATAAGCGAAGCCAGGTATCAAACCCCTGCTAGGAGCACGCCACCATCCAGCTGTGTCTCAAGTTCATTCCATGAAGTCCCCCAAACACATCTGCTTTGGTCCTAAACTCCTCGATGACAAAATGACAAAAAACAAACGCACAGCTCACAGAGCATCAGGTATGACTTCAAGGACACCCCACCCTCCAGACCAGGTGTGAGCCTCCTCCTCTGGATCATCCATTCCTGGAGGGCAGATAGAGGCTTCACTTCTAATGGTGACTCAGGGGCCAGAGATTTGCTACCCTGACCTGCCCTCCTGGTAAGATGAGGCCATTCCTTATGTCCCCACACCTGGATGAGGTTCTCAGTCCTCTCCCCACACCCCCACACCCCCCCCACACCCACACACACAGACTAGAAAGAAGGCTTAACAGGAACATGTCTGCTCTTCCAGAAGACCCAGATGTGATATCCAGCACCCGTATGGCAGCTCACAATCACCAGTAACTCTAGCTCCAGGAGATCTGATGCCCTTTTCTGGCCTCGATGAGCTCCTAGACACATATACATAAATGCAGGCAAAATACCCACACCCATAAAATAATTTTAAAAACTAAAAAGTAAAATTCTCAGGAGCTGGAAAGATAGCTTAGCAGTTAAAAGAGCACTGGCTGCTCTTCCAGAGGTCCTGAGTTCAATTCCCAGCAACCACATCGTGGCTCACAACCATCTACGAGATCTGGTGCCCTCTTCTGGTCTTAAGGAATAGGTAGGCAGAATGTCGTATACATACTAAATAAATAATGGTTATTCTTATCTGAAAAATCTCAATTGAAGAAAACCAATCTATTCTAGGCCTTAAGAGGAAAATACATCGTACTGGCTAGTTTTTATGTGGACCTGACACAAATAGGATCTTCTGGAAAGGAACCTTAGTTGAGAAAATGCTTGCACAGGACTGGCCTTGGGTAAGTCTGTGGGGCACTGTCCCGACTGACGGCTGACATAGGAGGGCCCAGCTCACTAGTGAGGGTCCATCACCCCGGGGCAGCTGGTCTCAGGTGGTGGAAGAAAGCAGGCTGAACCAGCCACGGAGAGCAAGCCGGTGAGCAGGCTCTGCCACAGCCTCCACTTTGGTTCTTGCCTTTAGTTTTTCTCCTGACTACCCTTACAAGGTGTAAGGTGGAGTAAACCCTTTCTTCCCCAGATTGCTTTTGGTTGTGGTATTTTTTTAAGATTATTATGTACACAGTGTTCAGTCTGCATGTTTGCCTGCACACCAGAAGAGGGCGTCAGATCTCACTATAGATGGTTGTGAGCCACCAGGTGGCTGCTTGGACTCACTCAGGACCTCTGAAGAGCAGTCAGTGCTCTTAAGTTCTGAGTCTCCAGCCCCCACCCCCACCCCCCCTTGAGGTATTTTTTTGTTTTGTTTTTGTTTTCGAGACAGGGTTTCTTTGTGCAGTCCTAGCTGTCCTGGAAACTATCTCTGTAGATCCACCTGTCTGTCTCCTGACTGGTGGGGTTAAAGATGTATGCCACCACCGCCCAGCTGGTTGTAGTGTTTTAATGCAGCAGTAAAAACCATACATACAACTACAGTGACCTCCTTTAAAATGTCCTGAGGATGGGTGATGGCACCGACAATCCTACCATCAAGACACACTGCTGTAGCAAATGCTCTACCATTGGACGGAAGTCTCCTCTCAGGGATATGTACAAAAGACATTGACTAATTCACTACCTTCCACATCCCGCTATGGAAAATCGAGTGATTGTAGGCTGATTTACACTTTAGACATCTTTGCAGGGCTGAGATTTAAGACAGAGGGGGCCTTGACTTGATTTTTCACACTGTAGACACAGGGCCCACTAAACAGTTCCAGATCTTCCACTAAAAACAAAAATGGGGCTGAGTGGTGGTGGTGCACCCTGCCTTTGAGGCAGGCGGATCTCTGAGTCTGAGGCCAGCCTGGTCTACAGAGTGAGTTCCAGGACAGCCAGGGCTATTACAGAGAAATCCTGTCTCAAAAACAAAACGGGAGCAGGGGCTGGCAGGAGAGATAACTCGGGGGTTAAGAGCACTCACTGACTGCTCTTCCAGAGGACCCAGGTTAAATTCCCAGCACCTACATGGTAGCTCACAAGTCTGGGATCTAACACCCTCATACAGAAATACAAACAGGCAAAGCACCAATAAAATAAATAAATATATATATATATATATGTGTGTGTGTGTGTGTGTGTGTGTGTGTGTGTGTGTATAAATAAAGGGGGGGGGCACTGTAGAGATGGCTCTGTTCTTGCAGAAGCCTCAAGTTTGATACCCAGCACCCACATTGGACAGCTCACAATTAGGGGGAAATGAGTGCTTCTGTCCTCAAAGGTCCCTCTATTCATATGCATGTCCTACATACATATACATATACATAATTAGAAACAGACCAACAAAAACATCTTAAAACAGAATAAAAGCATGTTTCCAAAATGGCTCTTAGGTGAAGTCCCTTCCCTGGAGCCATGGACACACCCCATGTTGAATCTCTGGCTTAAGGAAAAGGATGGGAGGAGAACAAGAGGACACGATGAAAGATCTAGAAAGGCAGTGTGCTGGGATGGAAGGCTGAGTTCCTGATGCTGTAGAGCCCTTGCACAGTCCAAGAGCATGCCAGTCCTCTGAGCAGCCTACTTCAGGGTACTTGTGACGCTTGTCTTGGAGCAGGGAAGAACAGAACTGGCCAACCCCAGATTTGTTCCACAGACCCAGGTCTCCCTGCAACAGTTCTTACTACTCATTGCTCAGTGGGAGATGCTTCCTGTCCTTGCCTGCATTCCGGCGCCTCTTTCGACTCAAGAAGCTCTCCAACTTCTTGCTGCGTTTTAACTCCTTGAACTTCTCAGCTAGGACCAACTGTCGCTGCTCAGCTAGATAAACAAGAAAGCAAGCTGGTGAGCAAAGGATGAAAACCTTATTCCCTGGTCCCACATCACAGACCCCCATGTTGTTAACAGCCATGGTGTACGAGGGACACAGTAACTGTGCTGTGTGTGCTGCTGCTGGTAATCAAACAGCTTCATGGATGTGAGGCAAGACCTCTACTAATGAGCTGTAGCCCAGCCCGGTGAGCCAGTTTTCCCGTGTTAGGAGGGAATCCAGGGCTTTGCTCACCTTCAGCAAGCTTGTAGTGTTACCACTAAGCTATCAAATAACCCTGCCGAAGCTAACTTTTTTTTTGAGATAGGGCCTTACTTTGTAGACCTTACTATGGTAAGACAAGGCTGGCCTTGAACTCTTAAGAGATCCGAGTGCTCCTGCCTCTCAGGTTAGCCTGGCCTCTAGGCCAGCTTTTTATAACTCAAGTATTACTTATCTGAACCTAGATGGGCATATAAATGGGAATGAAATTCAGT